GACCAAAGTTCGAGCTCTACCTCATGGACATCCTCCAGACGGGCGCGTTCCTCCTGGAGCATATCGAAACCCCAGCCGGACTGGGCTTTGATGCGGGGTCCCTTGACCCCTTGAAAACTGACGTTGCTGAGGAATATTTCGCCTCTGCTGTAGATGCCCTATTCAATCTCCTTGATGACCCAGATGCAGGCTTTCCTCATGCAGTGTTCAAGTTCGCTCGCGCCACTTTGCAGAAATTGGGTCATCCGGACTGTCGTGCCCGTTTTCTAGAGTATTTGCTCCTCCAGTGGTTCTTCCCTAAATTTCTCTCTGGCGCTCTAGCTTATCCTGAGGTCTGTTCCAGTCCGTCCTAAACGTTATGATTCCGGGATTCCGAGAGAACTGATCTCCCTCTTCTTTTAGACCCTCGGCCTTCTTCTTGATTTCCATATCAGGAAAGATGCCAGAGAAAAGCTCCTTGGACAGGTCGCCCTTAGGGCGTATTCGCAGGTCTTTGCTATTCTACGCTCAATGTAAGCCCTTTTCATTTCTGAACTTTTCGATGAGAGAGAGAGAATTGTCCCAACCCATTAATCTTCTGCGACAGGCATCACTTTTCAATGACTCGTCCTGCGGTCCGTCAACATGTTGAGAACATGCTCCGTCAGCTCGAGACTACGGACGCCGACAACATGCAATTTGCCCAGCCTTCAGAACCCAGAAGTCATCAAGGATCACCGTGCGCCTTTCTCATGCTATCTGCTGCGGACGTGCTAACCCTACTGGGCGCCCTGTTTCCCACGGCGACATCTCTCGCATGTAGCTCTCCCACTCCCTCCTCCGGATCATCTGCGTTTTCTCCCAGCTCCTTGCAGTCTTTTCCTGAAAGACGTACCACTGCCGTCCCAGAGCCAGGGTTCTACCGGCGTAATCTGAATGGTGGCAATTCTCCGCAGGTTTCCTCAACGGCATTCTCCACCGCGGACATGGACTTTTTTACGTGCTCAGAAGATCATCTGAGTCGCAACGCTGACCGCATCCGCTTTGAGTTGTCTGCTTTGGTCGAGCCTGATGGCCGTCCCGGTCTCGAGTACCCCTCGACGGAAGAATGGGCCATCTTCTCTGTCACCGAAGGCGGCCATCGCCTAATCTGGGGTTTATTCTCCGATGGCCAGCTCAGTGATACTGGGAACCTGTCCGCTGATACCTGTCCATCGACCACTTTGGGCATGGAGGACAACTTCGAGGCTCTCCAAACAGCGATCATCAAACTCGTCCGGGAGAACCCTACTGGAGATCGCTCAGACTACTGCGCGGAGCGCGACCAAATGGCCCCTTCACAGTCCTCTGCGCTGAAGAAAAGATTCAATCAGGCCATGTCACACTGCCACCACACTTCTGATTTCATGGGTGCCCATTATTGGTGGAACGCTAGTCGTCAGCTTCTTCGCAGTGTCGCCGACATACCCTCTCGCCTTGGCGATGACTCTTGGATCCTGGAACCTATGCACACATCGTGTTCACGGTCGCTACGGGTAGCTCACTCCGTGATCGAGCGCTGCGAAACCGACTTTGTGGCACTGGATCGCAGTTTGTGGCAACTGCAGGGAACTGTGAAAGAGACGATTAAAACCATTACGAAGTTGCGAAACAAGATGTGGTACATGACCGACGTCAAGAACTCGATGCGGTACGAGGACGCAAGGAATGTGGCGTTGGCACTGAAGACGATGGTCTACTCTGCTCGTCTTTATCAACCCAATCCTACCAACGAGCGTCGAACGCGCAGCGGCCCCCGTGCATCGGGAGGATCTGTTCTGCAAAAGCCAGAGTTGCAGGTGATGAATGTCATGAAAGCGCCGAGCAGCCAAGGCGGTCCCAATAAACTGTCTGATGAGCAGGTCGAGTTGACTCGGAGATGGCTAGTACAGAACAATATCGACAATTTTTGCAAGGGCGAAGAGCGTATTCACCGCTTCTGCTACGAGGTCAAAGTAAGTATCAACCGACTCGTCGGAGATACAATGGCCGAAGCCCCTGTTCTCTGGGCCAGCGAATTGTTCCAAAAGGAACGAGTCAAGTTCGAAGGGTCCAGCAACCGAAGCTTCCTTGGCCTTTCTTCATCAAGTTTGCGGCCCCTGAGCACTGCTGGTGAAGAGTTGTCATATGCTTCCCAATCCTCTGGCGGCAGTCTCCGCTCGTCCGATTCCTTTTCCAGATACACTCCAGACCTGCCGCCGCTGAATCGCAAATCGTCCTTTCAAAGCTCGATTTCCGAGAAGTGGAGGATCCCCCGGGACCCCTCTGCCGCTGCTGATGGGCTTTCGATTGGAGACTCGCCTTCCAAGGCAACCTCCGTATCAACGGGTGACACATACAGCACCTTTTGGTCTGTACCACATCAGAATGCGCCCTATGCAGCAAGTGCATCGAGTTTCTACTCCCGTCCGCCGTCGATGCTCAGTGAGGTCGTTGCTCAGCCGGCCCGCCAGAAGGATAGCAAAGGTCAAGGCAAAGTCGCTTTCCTGGACGAATTGAAACAGGGTTTGACAAGTCTGCTTTTGAGTGATCTGGGTTCACCCGTCTGGAGCTGTGGAAGCGAGACAGACGCCTGGTTTGGAAACGCCTTGGACCAAGAGCGAATCCGTGTACAAATGAAGAAGCGTGAGAAGATCCAGCGCTTCTATGCAGAGTGCAATGCGCGCACAGTCCGCCAAATAACCAGATGCTCCCAATCCAGGGGGCGAAGAAGCAGGTCGCTGGAGCCTCCCATATCTGGACGGGCTCAAGAGTCTGGTGATACATCCTCAGTGCCCATGACGAAGAGCGCTCAAGCAGCTGAAGGTCAATCTCCATTTTCGTACGGAGATGTTTTCCACCAATTGATCGAGATATTTTCGCGCCACGGGAACCCGTTCGTCAAGCTAAAGGCATTGCGGGATTTGAGAGCTTTGGTTATTGCATCCTTGAACATGGACAATGATGACAAGGCTTATGCGCATGCTGATCAGGAACATGCGCACTCGAGGGAACTCGGACTCCATGGCAAACGAGCTGCACGATATAGCTTCTCAGAAGCACGAACCCTCCGCGGAGCTGAGAAGGACTTCCTGCAAACTCCGACGTCTCCAGCGGCCGAATCTGTCGCTTTTGACTCACGGCCTTCGGAATACTCCGCACCTACGGATAACCAAATTGTGGACGCGCTGCGTAGCCTTCTCTTAGAAGTGAAGCCCAAGACTCTTTTCCGAGATCTCCAATTTATTTCAGCTTTCGTTCCCAGCGAGACACTAAATAAGACCGACAGCGGAACTGCGTTTCTGCAATTTGGCTTGGCCGCGTTAAGTCTCAAGGAAGAGGTCTGCAACAGCATGGTCGAGATTGCCGACAGGATTGTCTCTCAGGAACTGAGCCGACGCCATGTGCCTCAACCCTTCGGCTTCAACACCAGACCGAGCTACGCAATTGAGGATGCTGCTGGGATGTGGATCATCACTGCAAAGGAAGGAAATCCTGTCGCTCAGAGGGAGCTGGCGATTCTCTATTTAACCCATCCGGAGCTTCTTCCTCGTGTCACGCTGCCACTTACTTCTCCCAGAGATACATTCAAGGCTGAGATGATGTACCGCCGTGACAAGGACAGCAAGTCCGATCCGCAGAGCATGTGCCTGGCGCTGCACTGGATGCAGCTGTCAGCCAACGGAGGCGACCAACTCGCGCGGAACAGGCTTCGCGAACGCGAGGAGTTCGATTCCATCGCTTGATTTACCATCAATACCCGGTTGTTTCTTGATTAAACTCCGGTTCTATCATCTCTTTTATATCCTTTGGCACTTTTTCTGCTTTTATTCCGATACCACGCTATGGTTGTTGTTATCCCCTGGGCCTAATATCTTCTTACCATTTCCACGCCGGATCTCTTACTTCTGGCTAATTTCTAGTGCAGATACTGCGCTTTCATTTCTTGCGAGCTTAGAGCATCTCGGCCGCCTGCGTTTCTTGTAGTTGTATTCTTCTAACATGTCAGGTTGGAACACTCGTCTAGCACGCTTGGGCAAGAGGACTTGGTTCTACTCGTTTTTCCTGGTTACTCGACTTTTCGTTCACGGCCTTTGTCTTGAGGGTGGCGATCTGCATACTCGACTGGCACTATACCATCTAACCTTTCTCATGGCTTGAATTCTTGGAGTTGAACACCATGTATTGGATTCGGAAGACATGTTTGGCGGCAGTTTTTTTCTGAAGCCTGGTACTAGAGAGGAGCATGATAGGCGAACATACAGAAGTCTCTGAACTCGTTAAGGTTAGAGTTTGTTCATCAAACATGTCCATAGCCGGGGATATTGCGACCCAGTCGTAGGTAGACTAGGCGATGCATACCACCTCGATGTAGCATTGATGATTTGGTATTATTACCCTCTTGAGAGTGGTGCATCGATGCATTTGCCCGTCGACGTCATCCGCTTGGTTGCCCCCACGTGCTTCACCCACTCTTCCTACCTGACTCTGGTATTTCTATACCTCTCTGGCATCCGTATCATTCTATAACAGAATAGACAATTCCAGCCCATTTCCTTATATGGCTCACTTATCCTTCTACTGTACTACACTCAAGTGAGCACGAATTCGGAATCATATCCGAACGTCGCACGATCGTTTCCAAAGGCCTCGAAGTCTCGCACTGACCGTACTCTGTGTACTGTTAGGTTGACTCTGGTCACTCGGGAGGCTGAGACCCCGCTAGAAACCCAAAATAACTAACAATCATCCACTGTCGTCAGCATCATTCCGTTCAAGTGTTACTCAGCTCTGGCTGCTGGTTGATTTTGGGCTGAAATCGCACCTGACACTGTCTATCGTTGTCTGACTTGGAAAGCGTCAACACTTCTTGTTTCGTCTCCGTCCCTTTTTCTTCTTTTTTCCAACCACTGTCTTGACTTCTACACTTAGTCTCCCTTGTATTCTTTTTCGCTGGTTTTCCCCGCTACCCTTTTCTTCAACTTGACCTGACTCCTACACAAATGATGACCATGGCGCATAATCATGAGGATGTGCCTAAGCGGCCCAAAGGTAAGTTCTACTTACTTGGTTCAAATGGCGTTGAGCGTTGTTGACTGGAATCTGCTATTATCAGGCATCCTCAAGAACTCCAGCGGAAATGTCCCTCAGACAGCTCGCGCGACAGAGAATTTCTTCATTAACCCAGTACGCATGGAGAACGTCGATACGAAGGAAATTACCCTGCAGAACACGCTTCAGAACGCTGGTCGGCGCCGGTCGTCATCCAATCGCCCTGGTTCGTCCTCTCGACGACAATCTTTGGCGAGCGTCCGCAGCCACGACCAGGAGATTTCTCCGCGCTTGAAGTGGGACGAAGCGAACCTGTACCTGACGGAGCAGGAGAAAACAGCAAAGATGAAGATCGACGAGCCCAAGACTCCGTTTGCCCCACACTACGATCCCGCCGAGGACGAGGAGGAACTGCGACTCGCAGAAGCAGAGGAGAGCCTGATCGACGCGCAGGATGTGGTGGTCGATGAACTGGACAGGACCCATAAGGGGCCTCGAAAGGGGATGTCTGTGGATGATATTCCTGACCTGGAACTCGGGGAGCCCGAAGAGTCATCATACGCAGTGGGCAGCGGAGAGGGGAATCGGATCGTCCGCGAGCGCAGCCTGAGCAACGACTCGCATCGCAGCGACAAGCATGTTGTTGTCGGGACAGGCGACGAGAACGGTGCCGGTGCGGATGGGGATCATCTCATGACGACCGAAGAGGCCAAAGAGAAGCATCGTCAGTTTGAGCAGATGCGCAAGAAGCATTATGAGATGAGGAATATCAAGGAACTTCTAGCGTAAGTGGCCGTCTTCTTTCGATGGTGTCGGCGCGCGTACTAACTATGGCTGTTTCTAAGGCATCCCGAAAACCTGGACGAGATGGAAGAAGATGATGATGACAACGACGACAATGGCTCAGTAAATCCATCACGATGACCGGGGTTCCAGAGAAGTTCACAATTGACGATTCCCGTTAAGATTCAGTCAACCGTGACCTTGGATTCCCGCCTCCGATGAGTATTTGTGTCTTTATTTCTCTCAGTGTATATTCCCCAGCGATTGCATCTTTCTACTGTTGTGAAGAGTATCAAGGGTGATTGGGAGTGGAACTCCCACCCAGTTCATTTTCTCTTCAGTTTGATGAGAAACCCCACCGTCCCTGTCGGGTCTTCAGTCAGGATAGACGATATGTATGCGAAATTGTATGTGAACTGAGGGTAAATAGGACTCGGTTCAAGAAATACATTGCTACTTGCTTAGTCTCTATGCTCTTTGGTGAACTGAGTTTCGAGTCATCGAGTCAGGGGCAATAAGATGCTATCTAGACTACTCCGTGACTATTGACAGCAAATCCGGCTTCTCAAGAGGATGATTATTGTCTTTATCTGTTACAACCGTAATTTCTTGCCTTGATTATCTAGGTGGAGGCAATTGAATTGTCGCTGGGTCCAATTTTATTGATTGAAGATGTAGATAGATAATCTTCCACCGAAACTGTGTTGTAAGACATTGTTGGACCGCAATTACCCAAAGGGCCTAATGAAGGATTGTATTGGACCTACTCCGCGTAATTATCTGTTTGACTAATGATCAACTATGTATCCATCTATCGCTTTCATTGCAAGAAAGTGATAAAACAAAAGATGATGCCTGACATCTGGTGTTGACTCGTCAATTGCTGGTCTGAATGTTTGTTTATGTTGAAAAGGGGTGTACTACGTCAATATCCTCCGTAGATATAGTTTGTTGGTAAAAATAGAACCTACAAAGTGGATGTAGAAAGATACTCTGACAAAAAGACTGGGTGATTCAGGGGATACGGCAGCATCCTTTTCGCTTTTTAAGGTTTCGAGAAAGATATTACTATTATGTAGGAAGGATTAGGGAGTACGGAGTAGGGAATAGTAGTCTCTGCTCACTGTCTCATCTATATTTACCATCTCGTGACGCTGCATGTGATTGTTATTTGTCCTCCTGCATCAATCTTCCGATTTCTCTGTCCTTCTCTTCCGTTTATCAGCTCAAAGGCTCTCTTCTGAGCAAGACGTTCAGTCAATAGTCATTAGCACTTTCCAATCTTCCTATTTCTTTCTTCACACTCGCCATGGCCGACCAACAGCCCGAAAAGGCTACCGCTCCTGCTGCTGATGCCCCGGACTCGCAGCCTACCCTCGTTACCAACAATGACACCCCCAAGGAGACGACCGAGACCGCGGAGCCTCAAGCAGAGAACAAGACCGAAACTACAACCGCGCAGCCTGCCGTTGAAACCACTGCCGCTCAACCCACTACCGCAGAGACCCCTGCTGAGGCCGACAAGGCTCCCGCCGAAGGGCAGCAGCCGCCTCAGGCCGCAGAGGAGAAGCCTGTCGCTGAGCAGCCGGAACAGCCAGCCTATCTTGCCAAAAACCCTGCCTTGGCTCAGTTCTTCGAGCGTCTCCCTGCCATTCTCTCCAGCACCGGCCACGCAGAGATGTGGGGGGTGTCGCTCAAGGACTCGAACGATGCTCCCACCGTCAACGTCCTGATCAAGTTCCTGCGCGCGAACGAGGGCAACGTCAAGCTGGCTGAGGAGCAGCTGAGCAAGGCCTTGAAGTGGCGGAAGGAGATGAACCCCTCGGCACTTGCTGAGTCGACCAGCTACAGCGCGACCAAGTTTGGCGGACTGGGTTATCTGACCGTCTACAAGGAGGCTAATGGTGCGGAGACTGTTGTCACTTGGAATATCTATGGTGGTGTCAAGGATATCAACACCACTTTTGGTGATATGGATGAGTGAGTACATCTGCCAACGGGAACCTAATGTCCCTCAGATCCTAACCGTTCTTTTACGCTTGTAGGTTTGTCAAGTGGCGTGTTGCGCTTATGGAGCTGGCAGTCAAGGAGCTGAAGATGGCAGAGGCTACCTCTGTGATTGACTACGATGGCGAGGACCCCTACCAGATGATCCAAGTCCATGACTATCTGAACGTGAGCTTCCTGCGCCTGAATCCTGCCATCAAAGCCGCCACCAAGAAGACCATTGAAGTCTTCACCACAGCTTACCCTGAACTTCTCCGGGAGAAGTTCTTCGTCAATGTCCCTGCCATCATGGGCTGGATGTTTGCCGCCATGAAGGTTTTCCTGAGCAAGAATACCACTCGCAAATTCCACCCCATCTCCAACGGCGCCAATCTGGCTCGCGAGTTCCCTTCTCTGAAGGAGCAATTCCCCAAGGTCTACGGTGGAAGCGCTCCTGCTCTTCAGGAGGGAGCGAGAACTGTCAACCTCACTCAGGACGAGCCTGCCCCCACTGCAGCTGAGGCTGCGACAAATGAGCAGCCAACGGAGCAGGCCAAGGAGAACAAGGAGAACAAGGAGGAGGTCGCTCAGCAGGAGTCCAAGCCTGAGTCTGCTCCAGAGCAGCCGAAGGCTGACCCTGCTGTCACGGCCCAGGAAGCCCCTGCTGCCGAAGCCAAGTGAGCATGATAAGGCCGCCACACACTCAGATTTGACATATGGAAAGGAATTGAACAGGAGAAACAGGCATGATACCCGGGAGGATAGGCAGACTGCTTTGTTCTCTTTTTTTGTGGGGGCACGTTTGATACCTCAGAATTGCTACGTTTTTGCGAGAGTAGATGAAACAGCTTAACTAGACCATATATACTTAATTAATAGTAATAATAGAAACTCCACACTGGATGATCTTTTGTGCGCCTATACTTGTATTCTCATCTTTGGATCACTATCACATGGAGAGGAGCTGTAGCTGGCATATGGGAGACCCGAGATACCAAAGCCGCAGTTTCTTCCGCACTCCGCAACACTTTCGATGTTCCTAAGAGCTGTTTGGGTCGATCTAAGCCCTCATCTTCCTCTACCATCGATCGCCTTGAGCCAGCTGCCTTGAACTGTCAGAATGTGGCTTGTCCTTTTTGCAGCGTCCCGCATGTTTCAATAAATCAGGTTTACTTCCTTCGAAATTCACGATACAAATACTTCATCCAGTCCGTCGTCACCCGCCCTTACTCCTCACGAGCTTGACTTCGCTCCCACCTCACCCTAACCCTCAGAAGCGAACACTACAGGCTTCACCATGTCAGTTTGGAACCCAGATAACATCCGCGACGTGGCTGAGTCCGTCGGCATCGTCAATCTCAGCAACGAAGTGACCGAGAACCTCGCGCGCGATGTCGAATACCGCATCGCACAGGTCCTCGAAGAGGCTCTCAAGTTCATGCGACACAGTCGCCGGACGCTACTTACCACGCAGGATGTTGCGCAGGCCCTGCGGGTCCTGGACGTGGAGCCGCTATATGGATATGAAACTACACGGCCGCTGCGGTTCGGGGAGGCGTCACTGGGGCCCGGGCAGCCGTTATTCTACGTCGAGGACGAGGAGGTGGATTTTGAAAAATTGATTAATGCGCCGTTGCCCAAGGTGCCGAGGGAGATCTCTTTTACTGGTGAGGAGGTTCTCAGCTCTCGTTTTAGGCTTGTGTTTATGCTAACTGGTTTACTGTACAGCTCATTGGTTGGCCGTTGAAGGTGTGCAGCCGTCGATTCCGCAGAATCCTACCGCAGCCGACTCGAGAAACCTCGAATTGACCGCCAAGGGGCCTAATGCCAACTCGACGTTGGCGGCGATGAGCGGCACTGGGAACGTGGCCGTCAAGCCGCTGGTCAAGCATGTGCTGTCCAAGGAACTTCAGCTCTACTTCGAGAAAGTCTGCAACGCTTTCCTGGATGAGTCTAGTGAAGAATACCGGACGTCGGGCTATGCCAGTCTGCGCGAGGATCCGGGGCTGCATCAGCTCGTGCCGTACTTTGTCCAGTTCATTTCGGAGAAGGTGACACACGGACTCAAGGATATTTTTGTGCTGACGCAGGTCATGCACATGGCAGAGGCCCTGGTGCAGAACAAGTCGCTATATGTGGATCCTTATGTACGGTTACTCTTCTTGAAGTTCCTTTCATGGGAATGTCTGCTAATTCGGACCAGATCGCATCCCTTGTTCCCCCCATTCTGACCTGCCTGATCGGCAGACAGCTCGGTGGCAATGCAGACTTATCAGAACAGTTTGCTCTACGCGACCTGGCCGCTTCTCTCCTCGGCCTCATCTCCAAGAAATACTCTCACTCTTCGCATACACTCACACCTCGACTCGCCCGCTCCTGTCTCAAGACTTTCCTTGATCCGTCAAAACCATTTGGAGCGCATTATGGCGCGATTATTGGCTTGAATGCTGTCGGTGGCACCGAAGCGGTTCGAGTCTTGATACTTCCCAATTTGTCTAGTTACGCGAGCCTTCTCGCGGACGGCATGGCAGAAGACAACCCTCGACGACCGGAGGCCGAAAAGGTGCTGGGCGCACTGCTGGCCGTCCTCTCCACCTTGCGGGAGGGCCGCAAACATCTGGCCAATGGCCACGGTGCCATTGTGACGGACGAGCTCCGCGAGCGACTAAACGCAAAAGTGGGGGATATCATCGCAAGCAGGATCGCGGATGCGGGAGAGGTGCAGATGGCCTATGCTATTCTCGAAGCTTGAGGCATTCCCCAGTTGCCACCTTGGCTTCCTTTTGTCTCTGCCTTTCCTCTCTTGTCCATCTGTTTTCTTTTGAGTCATTAAAATTGTAGCTGTGCCTTGCATCTTGGCGGCGGGAAGGATTTCATTGGGGCTTTGGCGTTTACGTGGCGTACGAAGTGGGAAACATCTCTGGTTATTCCTCGCTTGATCTCTTCTGAATTGAGAACAGGAAAATTATTCAGAGCGGAATGTTATCGTCTAGAGCTCTATCTATTGTCTTATACCGACCAAAGACCTAAGAAATCATATTCATAGAGAGGTAGCTCCAGTATATGTTGAACGGGCTGATCAGACGTCATCACTGTCAGTTGGCTCCCACCGCCTACCATAAGCAGCCGAGAAACATTGTGTCGCGCGACAGTTG